TGTTTGAAACTACATGCAGAAATATGACCAAACAGGGTTGTAAAATTACAAAATAAATAAATATTTTACATATTTTCTATTTTAAATTTTTTTTAATGAATTTAGTAAGTTTCAAGTATATAACAATATGCAAGAAATATGTATGCTAAAAAGAAAGAAATACTAAAATGAGGTTTACATCTGACTGAAATTATATGCAGAAATATGGTCCAAAACATTAAATAAAGTATAAAATAAATGAATGAATGCATTTATATTTTAGTTAATTTTTAAATGTATTTTACAGCATGCAAAAATATGTATGGTCAAAATAAAAGATAAATATAAGGTTTCAAATCCGATTGAAACAATAGGCAGGAATATGCAAAACGGGTTTGGAAAAATAAAATATAAAGCATAAAATTGAACACAAAAATAAGTAAATTAGATAAAATATTATTTTTAAAAAAAAAATCTTATTTTCTTATTTAGTTGAATTTTGAGAAGCATCTCATTTCACTGACCATTTTTCGAAAAAAAGAAAAAAACCTTTAGAATTTTTTTTTTTTAATCTTATCTTAAAATCTTAAAGGGTGATGTGATGCTATATTTGGCTTGTAACATTACAATGGATGTCTTAAAATGTCTGGGTGGAGTAAACTGGACTGGGCTGTTTGTGAACGCTTTCCAGGCCTGATGCAGGACTTACAGCTTCTCTAATGGATTACCATGCTTGTGAATTGCGTTAAAGTCCCTCCCAACCCCCAAAACAACCCGCATTCCTCCGGCTCGGCCTGATCTGATAAGACCATGTGAAAGCAGATGAAAGCAGGGTGGAGAACGACAACCAGCTAAATGCTAAATGAGGAAAAATGGCCTTCAGTCCACCGCTGATTTACATGAAGAACATCTCTGAAACCGAAAGACTGAACGGTCTCATGAACAACTAACCTGGTCTTTCTTGGTTTTGTGGGACGAGGCCACGTGTGCCAGATACTGAATGACCTTCTTGGTGTTTTCTGTCTTTCCGGCACCAGATTCACCCCTGAACATATGCAAACACACAGATAAGTTGAAAAAAAAAAAATCATGATTTCATTAGGGCTGTGCAAAAAAATCAAATGCGATTTTCATGCGCATCTCGTCAGTAAAGCCGGTTCTGTGATTAGTAGTAAATCTCCAGCACGTGCTTTCAGATGGAGCGGCATTTACTACACAGAGCCGTAGTTCACCGACAAGCTACACAAAATCGCGTTCAAAATTCAGGAGATTCATTGTCGATTTTGAACGCGATTTTGTGTAGCTTGTCAGTGAACTACGGCTCTGAAAATCACATTCGATTTTTTGCACAGCCCTAGATCACATCATAAAACACACGCATGCAGGATCATGTGACTCACGTGCAGAGAATCGATTGGTCCTCACGGTCTGTGGGAGGAGACAGATATACGAAAATGAAATCACAGTGCAAACACTTTAAACACATGAAATGACATTCACTAGGCATTTCACTTCTGTCATTTTATGTATTTTTGGTTTATTTAATTTTATTTAGTTTAACTGATTACATTCTTGTTCAGCAGAAGGTATTTTATGTATCTTGAGTGAGGAAATAATAATTTTATATTTTATTTAATATTTATATAGATTTATTTATTTTTTTACTTAGATTATATTTATATTTAATTTGACTTATTTTATGTTATTTCAATGATTTTATTTTTTATATGCTATGTATATATGTATGGATATATGTTATGTATTTTGAATGAGAATATTTGGCAGGAAACGATAATTATATTTTATTTTTAAATTTTTTTTAACAAGTTATTTTGACTTTTTAATTTTTTCTGTACTGATAGAGATTAAGTGACAAAGTAATACTTTTATATTATATACATATTTTTACTTTGATTTTATTTGTTTTCCTTTATTTTATCCATTTATATTTGAAAATCAGGACGTATTTTATGTATTTTGAGTGAGATTATTTGGAAGGAAATAATCATTTAAAATTTGTACTTATTTTACTAATTTTTACTTAGATTTTATAAATATTTATATTTTATTTCTTTTTTTATCTCATTCTTTACGTTTTATTTGACAAGCAGGGTGTAAAAATGATCAACGTTATTTATTATCAATCTAATAGAAGTCATTTCAGAGGCAGAGAAAGTTTACGTTAAATTTCCGAGTATAAAAACAAACATTTCTTCTTTATAACATGAACTGTTGACTCAAACATGACGAGAGCATTTGATCAACTAAACAAGCTCAAGTTTGATTGATTGTGTTCACTTTGATGTTCTTCAAAGCGTTTGTCATGTTGGTTTAACTAACGAGCAGCTATAAATTCCTCCAGGTGGAAAAACGCACCACTCATTCGCTCTCAGTAAACCCTTCTGAGCTTCTTTAGCAGGAAGAGCTCAGACCACAAAACAGGAAGTCAATATCTGGCTTCCTGTGACTGGAGAGGGAGCCGCCTTTCCAGAAAACTACAGTAAGATAACGGCCCTCGTACTAATAAACCATTACATTTGCCAAATGGCAAATAAAAAGACAGTCTAATGATGACGAAAGCTCAGACCATAATAATAAATCAGCAGATTTTTACATTTAAAAAAATTTAATTACATATTTTGAAGGGCCCTTTTGAACTTTCCATTCATCAAAGAATCCTGAAAAATAAAATGTCTTCGATATTAATAATCAGAAATGTTTCTTGAGCTGCAAATCTGCATATTAGAATGATTTCTGAAGGATCATGTGACGCTGAAGACTGGCGTTATGATGCTGAAAATTCAATAATTCATCCAAAGCAAACCCCCTGAAGTGGATTAAACCTGTTAGAGAAAGGCTCTGATCGTGTATGAACATGAGCTGCTGTCAGACTGTAAGAGCAGCGGTTAAAGCTCGATACGCACATTTCTAATGATCAACATGACCAATACTTTGCTGTTAAACCCGTTTCACACACTATCTACTCCAGTTACACTTTATTTTAAGGTGTAATTATTAATTTAAGTACAGAGCGATATTAATTAACTACATATTATAAAACATATATAAGGGGGTTAGCTGTTATAAATTCACTGTAAACCACGGCTTCTAGGGGCTTACTGCTTTAGTACTTACTATATGGGTAGGGTTAGGATTAGGGTTACTTGCATGTAATTATGCATAATTTATTGTTAATATAATAGTAAGTACATGTAACATGTTTAACAAAGGCACTTTAAAATAGTGTTACCTCGACGCTATATCTTCTGCTGTCTGATTGATAATTTAGTTTTTTTTATCAAGCAAAAGTTCTTTCAGTATAATTGTACAAAAGTCCACCTTCAGCTCGTGCTTCACGCGTCTTTGCTATCAAATCTTTACTGATTTTTATCAAGTAAATGTAAAAATAATACTATAATATAATAACTTTTGTATTATTTCCCAGATGAACACTTACTGAACTGAAGCAGCTGGGCTTTACTCGATTCTCCATCAATCATCGTTTAGAAAAATCAGTGAGTTTCAAATCTGATCATCAAGATCTTTTGAGGAGCGTTTGTTTTCCAGAAGCTTTACTTTCACTGTTCCTCAATGGAGGAAAGATCTTCCCAAGCCTCCAAAACATCTCATCTTCTGAGGAACGTTTATTTCTTTATCTCTCAATCATCATTGGATTACATTGCATTATATGTCTGGATCATTTAAATCTCATCTGACTAAGACATATTATTGGAGATTTAGAGTGATGACTGATATTTAGATCATTTTATGTAAGTATCTGCTGTACTGTTACAAAGATCTCACTGATCTCATAACTTTTTTGGTCCTATAAATATCAGCATCTGCGCAAAATTGCATATTTTTGCTTAGTTTGAATAAAACAGAGCTGTTTTTCCACCATATTCTCACTATATCAGACTATATGAGCTTGATATCTCAGGCTTTACAGGTTTTAAACTTCGCGCATGATCCTGAAGTGGAAACGGTGTTAGCTCAGACTCACGTATATGAGGCCGGAGTAGTATCTCTCCTTCAGGTTGTGCAGCACGGACGCCTCGTTCAGGCAGGTGAGCTCGGCCATGTCCTCCACCTTGCTGAACTTGGGCGGGTTCATCTTCTGGATGTCGTCCTTGTTGACCCGCACTTTCTTCCCCGAGTCAGCCAGCTCCACCACCACCTCATCGCCGTGCTCCTCCTTCACTGAGCCGGTCTCGAACCCCAGCCGCTCCGACGGCACCCACACCAGCTTTTTGGTGGCCCAGTCGGCCTGCGCCAGCGGGTTGTTGACCAGGTTGCGGTCCACGTACAGGAACTTGTCAGCGTCCGACATGGTTGCTGGAGGCGAGAGAAGCCGGAGAAACGATTGTTTATGAACCATTAATGTACACACAAACTTTACAGAAGTGCACAATTAATAACAAGGATGTTTATTAGCGTACAGTGTGTTTATTTCAAACCCTGACCAGCAGAATAAACAAGAAACGGCGAAAATGGAAGATTACACGATCCGTCTGAAGAAGCTTTTTCGGTTTATTTTCTTAATAAATGTCCTTGTTATTTTGTGCATGCTGCTCTAGACGAAAATGTGTTTATTATGTCTGAGAAAACCATAAAACTTTTTTTTTTCTGTTAATGTAACTTTGGCTGGTCCATTGCAAAAAATATATTTTACCAACCAGATATCACGCAAGTGCTGTTTACCTGAGCAGCACTCACCAGACATAATTTGCATGCTATTGCAGACAAGCAAAAGGTAACACTTTATTTTGACAGTCCACTTTAAACATTCTACTAACAGCAAGTAACTTTGCAACTACAGGTCAACTAGCAGTCATTGGAGTATTAGTGGACCGTCTGCTTGATATCTTCCAACACTTTATTTTGATGGGTCCACAACATACAGCATATTGACTATGAGAAACTTTGCAAGTATGTCAATTTATTCTATTAGTCCTAAACCTAACCTAACAGTCTACTCTGAGAGTTAGTAGACATGTAGTTGCAAATTATTGAGATTTATTTGACATGTAGTTGCAAAGTTACTTACTGTTAGTAGAATGTCTAAAGTGGACTATCAAAATAGAGTAACCATCAGATTTTACATTTGTGAAAAGTGTTTGTTTCGTATATCCCTAATTGTCTGAGCAAGATATTTAATATAAAGACAAAATTTTTTTTTTTTTAGAAAAATTTAAAGAGGTTGCACCACCGCCAAAATATTATATATATATATATATATATACATTTAAAAAAAAAAATGTTTTTGAGGAAAATGCATGCTCTAAATCATTTCTATGTGGTTTCTAGGGTGTTCAATTGGTTGCTAGGGTCATCATGATGTTGGAGAAGATCTCTAATGTCAGAGTTCAGCATCTTAAATAAACAGCAGCTGAAGAGGCTCTTCAACTGACGCTAACAACCGAGAGCGGACGAGAAACAGATCTAGGACAGAGCACTTTTCTTGCTTTTCTTACGCAAGTCCTCAGGAATGCTGGGTCTGTATCGCACGTCCAAACACAAGTTAGGTCAGCAGCTCGTAAAACACAGCAAACTTCAGGAAGGTGAGCTCATGCTCCTGGCGGCCACATGCAATGACAGCGCCGGCCGTAATTACAGTCCGAGTCTCTCAGACACACACTCGCGGTGATAAACACTGTACGTGGGACGTTTTGCTTTAAATGCGGTCGGACCAAACACATTGTTGATTATACCATTCAGAGACGTGTTTAGACAATGGAGCGCTTGTTTAAACTACAGAGAGCAGCGGGTCTCTGGTGGGTCACAGGCCTGTTCAAATCACAGACGGCAGGGAAAAACAATGCTAAAAGCAAATAAAAGAATGCAACAAGCCATATAATCATGCACAGCTAGTACGGTATATTACAATAAATCAATCTGAAAACATTTCCTATAGCCTTTGCACTTCCATCTGCTCAGATTTTGGATGTTTTAAGAGTTGTGGAAAGATAATCTCGCCACTGAGGAACGGTAAAAGTAAAGGTTCTAGAAAAAAGAAAAAACAAGGCGCCGCTCAATCTTGAATCTATCAAAGGTCGTGTGTCTGATTAAACTCCACAGTATTCTGAAGCAAATTCATGTGTCAGTTATTTTTAAAAGTAATGCATTGCAATATTGTGTTACTTCATTAAAAAAAGTAACTAATTGCGTTACTTAGATCCTTTTTAAGGAAAGTAATGTGTTATGGTAATTTGCATTACCCCCAACTCTGATTACATTATTGCATTACTCCATAAAAAATTTAACTAATTGTGTTACTTTTCGTGGATGGTAATTAATTGTTACTTTTCCATTACTTTTTATCTGGTTTGGGCTTGCTTATGTATTTTTTAATAACAAAAAACACAAAAGTTATATTTTTGCCAAATGAAAAGGCACTTTCACAACAAAAGTGAAACTGATAGGCCTCAGGCTGAACCCTTACGGAAAATTAACCATGAGAGTTGCACAATTGGTATGAATTTGTACGAATGACCTACACCTAACCCCACCCCTAAACCTACCCGTAACTGGGTAGTTGTGAAAATCGTACGAGTGAGGCCGTACGAATTCGTACAAATTAGCCACCTCATAAAATGCATACGAATTGGTCGTGAGATAGCGTTGGCTTTATGCAACTTGTTCCATTTTACACATTCGTGTGTATGACCTGTGCCTAAGAAAATGCGGTTCAAAATATGCATGCAAACGTCAAAATCACAACAAAATCCATTCAGACAACCCCAAAAGTCTGTTTTTCCACCAGATTTAATGGTTTTTTTTTTCACTGTTCTGACTACTTTATATATGGATTTTTGTGTGAAACTTATTTATATTAATATTCTATTCTACTTTATTGATAATTGAATTAATTTAAAATATACTGCCATTAGATGGATCATTATACACTTAGATACTGGTTCATCGCTGTCGGCTGTTGAAAACCCCAATGATTGATTGTTATACGGCATAATTTGATGATACAAGACAAGTACATGAACACTTATTTTACAACGCATTTAATAAATTTATTAGAAAGTTTTTTTTTAACAGACACTGCATCATCCATCGACAATGGCTATAAATTTCTACACATCAAAGCCACATTTAGACAACTCCAAAAATCTATTTTTAGTTAGATTCATGTGTTTTTTGCTGTTCTGACTACAACTAAATGGACTTTATATTTATATACTTTATATTTGGATTTGGGGATGCAAAAAATGATGTCTGATTAGGTCTTAAATATATTTATATTATATATTTTTTTTAGTTCAACTTTTAATAAATTGATGTTAAATTGTATATATTTAAATACTTAGACATGCTTTTTGAGTACTAAAATTTTATTTAACCCTTAAAATGGAATCCAGAAAAATTTAACAAGAAAAATAAAAATGGAATCCTGAAAGATTCCGGAAAAAACTGAATTTGGGGAAAAATCAAATGGAACTTGAGAAAAAAAATAAAACTGCAACAGTGGCCATCAGGTACATATAAAAAACAAAATACAAATAAAAAGAAGTATTCAGAGAGGTTTCTTTTTTGTTGTATTAAAGCAGGTCAGTTAACGTCACATTTCTCCAGCGTAGCGTGAAATGGCTGAAAACTCCCTCGTGAAATCACTGAGAGTCTGATAAGGGCAGTAAAGAGGTATAAAATGTGCACATGAAGCTGGGAAGTGAGCAGATGAGTTTGACACAGATGTGTCTGACACACTTGAGTCTCCTGGTGCTTCTGCGAGTCTAATTTTAAACGTCCGTCTCAAGACTTCTTTCCCTACAGCAAATGCTCTTCAGGTCCAGCAGAACCAAACCTTTCTGACTCTGAACTGAGTTTATGAGTGACAAAGACAAAGAGCACACTTCACACAAACATTTGCAAGCAGAAGCTCGAACCCACAGTGTGAACTGAACCCACACGCCGAGCTGTTCTGTTAGCAATTTCGATTATTCTAGGTAACACTATTACAGTAAAATAATATTATGCAGCGATTCATTTAAATGACCATGAATGAAAGCCATAACGTGCAAATCATATATCATCCTTTCAGATTACAGTCACGAGAATTACTGACTATACACTGAATTCCTGCATTTCTGAAAGAGTTCAAAAACATTAATGGTCAACGACCACCAATATTTCTAAAAATATAATCATCATCAATTTAATATAAATACATTCTATTAAAACACATGATATACTTCTGTATTATTATATTAAACATAATAAGAATATTTTTTATTAAATTAAATTACATTTAAATGTAATAATTTAGCAGACACTTATCCTAAGCAAATTACAAATGAGGACAATAGAAAATTATTTAATGTGTACATTCATTTATTAAGAATACATTCCCAATAATGTATTAATTGAAATAATAAATGTTAATTAATTGAACAATATATAATTAACTAATCTGTTATAAATTACTTATATTAACTAATTAATAATATGCACTAATTATGAATAGATTTACGTTCATTTATTATTGAAATAGTAAGTGTAAATTAATATCATAATATATAATAATCAATTATTTATATTTTAATATATTTATGTATCTACTACTAATGTGCACTCACTTATTAAGAATGCATTTACAAAACATTTTTATTTAATTAAAATAATACCTGTAAATTGATTTAATTATATTTAATGAATCGATTGTTCGTCATTTAATTTACAACTAAATACATAACATGATCTATTAATATGTGCTTGAATATTAAAATCTATTTATCATTTTTTTCAGATTTTAGTCACAAGAATTTGGGGGTTTTCCAGCATGTCATGAAAATAACGTCATATAATAAAAGATGTAAAAAGCTTCTTTGTTTCTAGATTCCTTGAAGCACTAAAACACAGCTGTGTTTCTAAACTAAATCATTCAGTGACAATAAACAGATCGCTGTTTGGCATCAGACTGTAAAAATCTCTTTCTGCAAGCAGTATTTGATGATTAAACGTGCTTTAGCACAGCGAGAGAGATGCAATCTAATCCAGACCACATTGGTCTCACTGCGTTCTGACTGAAGGTCTCGGAGGAAAAACACAGGATTGTGGGAAATCTCGCAAACGTTCCAGATACCAGTTCAAATATAACACAATGTTCTGCTTTCCATATTTGGATGAGAGAGTGCGTGTGTGTTTCTGCTGACGACGTCACAACACGACACACGACCCTGCTGAATCCCTCCAGCCAATCAGACGACAGCGGCTCATATTTGCATATTAAACAGCCACACCCGTCTGGCCCCGCCCTCATTTCCTTCCTGTGTGTGTCAGACAGAGAAGGTCAGCGCTAAAGCTAGCAGAATGGCTCATTTCTTGTGGTACGTAAATGACAGACGAGTTATGAGTTTGAGAGAAGAGAGTCTCATAAATGTGAGCGAGTCATAAACTGATTTTATGACAGTTCCACTGAAATCATCTTTGATAACGAATATGCTTTATCCTCAAAATTACTAACTGGGTTTCATTCGTGAATCATAATCAGAATTAATTTCTGTGTAATTGGTCTATAAAGCCCTTCTTAAAGAAAGCACTGAACTGAACATGATTTATGCACGAGCGGTTTTATGAACAATTAAATAGCTATAAATTTTGCTTGTGATTCATGACTGAGGCACAGTAATACAGTCAGGATTCACATCCCAGACCTAAATACTTGTGAGAAGAGGATGCTGTAAAATTGAAAAAGACATGAGGAAAAAAAAAAAGGAACTGACAAAGAATGAAAAGTATTTGCTGTCTGATAGCCAGACACTGAATTCCTGCTCATCTGAGAATTTGAGCACGAGTATATTTGTAGCAATAGCCAACATTAATTTGTATGGGTCAAAATGATCCATTTTTCTTTTATGCCAAAAATCATTAGGATTTTAAGTAAAGATCATGTTCCATGAAGATATTTCCTAACGTAACTATATACAACTTCATTTGGACAACTTTAAAGGTGATTTTCTCAATATTTAGATTTTTTTTGCACCCTCAAGATTCCAGATTTTCAAATAGTTGTATCTCGGCCAAATATTGTCCTATCCTAACAAACCATACATCAATGCAAAGCTTATTTATTCAGATTTCAGATGATGTATAAATCTCAATCATCAAAAATGTACCCGTATGACTGGTTTTGTGGTCCAGGGTCACATTGAATTTTGTAACACGCATACATGTTTTATACATAATACATCTACAAAATTTACAATTATGAAATATAATAAACCAAATCCTTGTCAATTGCAGGACTGGGACTTGAACCCACCGACGACTCTTCACTCGTCCAAGGTCTGTCCTCAGGGCTGTGTGAAAGAACTGGGGAGGTGATCTGCTCACGATCTTCAGACACTGAGGAGATGAAGATCTTGGGTGGTGGCTGAACAACATCTTTCTTGACCGTATAAGACTCCCGTTTCCTCTGTACTCCATTCCGAACAGGAGGTTCGTTCATTCGAGCGCCAGCTTTGTTTCGCTCTAGAATATCTGATGTGTCATCCTGGAGAAAACAATAAAACAAAGCACATTTAGTTAAGACGTACAAGACTTGTGCTATATTGATGTGTTGTAGTAATTCGATGAAATGTTCCTACCGCCTCAATTCCAGGAAAGTGCTCCAAAAACTGGGACACATAGGTCATTACGGACTGTTCATCAGGGGGATTCAACATCACATCTGAGGAGTTACATCACATAATGTTTAGTTAAACTGTGCAAATGTATTTCAAAACAAATCAAAGCTATATCAAATGGAAGGTAGCTGAGATACATTTTGTTACACAAGTAATACAGCGGCCCCAAAAGTTATTTGGACACAGCCTCACTTGAATACTGAATATATTTTGCTTTACATAACATAATAACAAAAGTGCCATTAATTTAACATTTAAATGTAATAATTTAGCAGACACTTATCCTAAGCAAATTACAAATGAGGACAATAGAAAATTATTTAATGTGTACATTCATTTATTAAGAATACATTCCCAATAATGTATTAATTGAAATAATAAATGTTAATTAATTGAACAATATATAATTAACTAATCTGTTATAAATTACTTATATTAACTAATTAATAATATGCACTAATTATGAATAGATTTACGTTCATTTATTATTGAAATAGTAAGTGTAAATTAATATCATAATATATAATAATCAATTATTTATATTTTAATATATTTATGTATCTACTACTAATGTGCACTCACTTATTAAGAATGCATTTACAAAACATTTTTATTTAATTAAAATAATACCTGTAAATTGATTTAATTATATTTAATGAATCGATTGTTCGTCATTTAATTTACAACTAAATACATAACATGATCTATTAATATGTGCTTGAATATTAAAATCTATTTATCATTTTTTTCAGATTTTAGTCACAAGAATTTGGGGGTTTTCCAGCATGTCATGAAAATAACGTCATATAATAAAAGATGTAAAAAGCTTCTTTGTTTCTAGATTCCTTGAAGCACTAAAACACAGCTGTGTTTCTAAACTAAATCATTCAGTGACAATAAACAGATCGCTGTTTGGCATCAGACTGTAAAAATCTCTTTCTGCAAGCAGTATTTGATGATTAAACGTGCTTTAGCACAGCGAGAGAGATGCAATCTAATCCAGACCACATTGGTCTCACTGCGTTCTGACTGAAGGTCTCGGAGGAAAAACACAGGATTGTGGGAAATCTCGCAAACGTTCCAGATACCAGTTCAAATATAACACAATGTTCTGCTTTCCATATTTGGATGAGAGAGTGCGTGTGTGTTTCTGCTGACGACGTCACAACACGACACACGACCCTGCTGAATCCCTCCAGCCAATCAGACGACAGCGGCTCATATTTGCATATTAAACAGCCACACCCGTCTGGCCCCGCCCTCATTTCCTTCCTGTGTGTGTCAGACAGAGAAGGTCAGCGCTAAAGCTAGCAGAATGGCTCATTTCTTGTGGTACGTAAATGACAGACGAGTTATGAGTTTGAGAGAAGAGAGTCTCATAAATGTGAGCGAGTCATAAACTGATTTTATGACAGTTCCACTGAAATCATCTTTGATAACGAATATGCTTTATCCTCAAAATTACTAACTGGGTTTCATTCGTGAATCATAATCAGAATTAATTTCTGTGTAATTGGTCTATAAAGCCCTTCTTAAAGAAAGCACTGAACTGAACATGATTTATGCACGAGCGGTTTTATGAACAATTAAATAGCTATAAATTTTGCTTGTGATTCATGACTGAGGCACAGTAATACAGTCAGGATTCACATCCCAGACCTAAATACTTGTGAGAAGAGGATGCTGTAAAATTGAAAAAGACATGAGGAAAAAAAAAAAGGAACTGACAAAGAATGAAAAGTATTTGCTGTCTGATAGCCAGACACTGAATTCCTGCTCGTCTGTGAATTTGAGCACGAGTATATTTGTAGCAATAGCCAACATTAAGTTGTATGGGTCAAAATGATCCATTTTTCTTTTATGCCAAAAATCATTAGGATTTTAAGTAAAGATCATGTTCCATGAAGATATTTCCTAACGTAACTATATAAAACTTCATTTGGACAACTTTAAAGGTGATTTTCTCAATATTTAGATTTTTTTTGCACCCTCAAGATTCCAGATTTTCAAATAGTTGTATCTCGGCCAAATATTGTCCTATCCTAACAAACCATACATCAATGCAAAGCTTATTTATTCAGATTTCAGATGATGTATAAATCTCAATCATCAAAAATGTACCCGTATGACTGGTTTTGTGGTCCAGGGTCACATTGAATTTTGTAACACGCATACATGTTTTATACATAATACATCTACAAAATTTACAATTATGAAATATAATAAACCAAATCATCAAGACATGTATTTATTTTACTTTTCTTTTTTTTGTGGTTCTGACCCCATGCACGCTCTGGTTTCTTTGGCAGTAGAGATCTGACATGTATCGCTCATCCAGCGCTCTGGAGATAATATAACGAGCTCATCTCTGACTGCAGCCAGTAAATATTTATGAGTGTTTTTATCAGTAAATGCCCAGCCGCTGGTTTCACGTCTGCTCTCACTCAGCTTATCTGCATTTGATGATGCCACACCCAATCAAATCAAAGCTCAGAGTCCAGCTGTAAACGGACCCTGACCGGACACTGATGAACCACAAACACCAGCTTCACAAACTCACAATACAATCACCTAAAACACTGCATGAGCAACACTTATTGTAAAGAATGTCTCAGTGTTCATTATGTTTTTATGGTTATTTATTATTATATTTTTTTAGAAATATAATTCTGTTTCGGGGTGGTCCTTGCTTACCATTTTAATGCAGTAATTCAGTTTCAGAGTTATAGCAAATAATTTGATTATTTTATTAATTATTATATTTATTATAACATGTTTTTATTTGTTATTGGCCATGTGCATGTATTATTTTATTTTATTATTGTAAAAAGAAAAAAAATTGTAAATACATTAAAGGGATAGTTCACCCAAAAATGAAAATTTGATGTTTATCTGCTTACCCCGAGGGCATCCAAGGTGACAATGTAGGTGACTCTTGGCGCTTTTCCATGGTACGGCTCGGTACGGTTCACTTTTGGGGGGTTTTCCACTGGGTACAGTG